GAGAGGAGAATCGAAATTGGAAATAGAAAGAGAAGAAAGAGGATGTTGAAAGAAAAGTCAGAAGGAAAAGAGGAGATCGTGCAGGAAGTGAACATGTATGTGTAAATTATATATGTGTGTGTATGTGTGTGTGTGTGTGTGTGTGTGTGTGTGTGTGTGTGTGAGTGAGTGAGTGAGTGAGTGAGTGAGAGTGTGTGTGTGTGTGTGTGTGTGTGTGTGTGTGTGTGTGTGTGTGTGTGTGTGTGTGTGTGTGTGTGTGTGTGTGTGGAATAAAGGAACAAAGCCGCACAGTATGTCTGTCTCCCTTCCGTTTCCCTCCTTTCGCGCGTCAGTTCATATCTCAGTTCCTTTCCCTTTTCCTTGGTTACTATTTCTTGCCTCTTCCCTCCTCTCCCCATTCTTTCCTATTTATTTCCTCGCCAGACGCGGATGTCCGTCTCTCTTTTCGCCCTTCCCCATCCCTCCAGTTCCGCCTTTCCTACCTTTCCTCTTTCCCTCTCCTCTATATTTTCCCTTCCCTCAACGGGAGAGGCAGACTGTTTGTTGCACACACACACACACACACACACACACACACACACACACACACACACACACACACACACACACACACACACACACACACACACACACACACACACACATCTCTCATTTCAATATCGTGAGGTTATTTGGCAGACTCACCCTTGCCTGATTAGATGCCCTTCCTAATTAACCGCGATTCGGCGTGGTAACAGGGGTGACCACTGGGGTCGGAGTCCTGTGCACGCACAACCCTGTATATATATATACATATATATATGTATATATATATATATATATATATGTATATGTATTTATATACATGTATATACATATATATGTATATATATTTATATATATTTATATATATGTATATATATATGCATTAATGTGTATATATATGCATGTATGTATATATATGTTAGTATGTATTTAAATATATGTGTGTGTAGATATAAATATAAATAAGCCGATATGTCGTTTTCTCGGGCTCGAGGCAGCAGTCAGAGCGTAGGCATTTTTTACAACTACCGCGACGGGGAATTGAACCCGGGACCACGAGGGTCGGAGTCCAGTGCTCTAACCACTGAGCTATTGCGGCAGTTTTACATACATATGTATATGTATATGTATATATATATATATATATATATATATATATATATATATATATATATATATATATATATATATATATATATATATATATATATGTATGTATGTATGTATATATGTATATATGCATATACATATATATGAATATATAATTATGTATATATATATATATATATATATATATATATATATATATATATATATATATAATTGTGTGTGTGTGTGTGTATTATATAATATATATGTATGTATATGCGCGTGTATTATATGATATATACGTATGTATATGCGCGTGTATTATATAATATATATGTATGTATATGCGCGTGTATTATATAATATATATGTATGTATATGCGCGTGTATTATATAATATATATGTAATATATATATATATACATATATCTATGTATATATATACAGGGTTGTGCGTGTATGACTGCTGCGATTGCCCGGTGGTTAGAGCACAGTCCCCCCGACCCAGTGGTCACACCCGTTACACGGCCGAATCGCGGTTAATTCGGAAGGGCATCCAATCAGAGACAAGGTGGGTGAGTCTGCCAAAAAAACCTCACGATATTGAAATGAGAGATGTGTATGTGTGGTGTGTGTGTGTATGGTGTGTGTGTGTGTGTTGCTTGTAGTGTGTGTTATGTGTGTGTGTGTGTGCATGTGTTGTGTGTGTGTGTGTAGTGACATGTGTGTGTGTTGTGTGCGTGTGTGTGGTGTGTGTGTGGGTGCATGTTATGTGGTGTGGGTATGTGTGTGTGTGTGTGTGTGTGTGTGTGTGTGTGTGTTATGTGTGCACACATACACGCACACATGTGTGTATATATTCTGTATGTATATATATAAATATATATATATATACATTTATATATATGTTTATATATGTATATATATGTATATGTTAATATATGTATATACACATACACAAGCATATGTATGTGTATATATACTGTGTATTTCTATATATCTATATATGCACATCTATACACACACATCTCTCTCTTTCTCTTTACACATTTTTTTTTTTCAACAGCGATTCATTCCACTGCAGGACATAGGCCTCTCTCAATTCAGTATTGAGAGGTTATATGGTGGTATCACCCTTGCCTGATTGAATGCCTTCCCTAATCAACCGCGGTACGGTGCGTTAGCGATGACACTTATGCCACGGCGGTGACTTCCCCTACGACACCTGCGGTTTGACTTCTCAAGCCGATATGTCGTTTTCTCGGGCTCGAGGTCAGCAGTCAAAGCGTAGGCATTTTTTACAACTACCGCGACGGGGAATGAACTGGGACCATATAAGTATGTATATGCGCGTGTATTATATGATATATATGTATGTATATGCGCG